TAGTGTCGCTGCAGTCATACCCCGTCTCCTCCTTGACCTCCCGGGCGGCGCACACCACGTATGGCTCCGACTCATTGATCTTACCCTTCGGGAACCCCCAACTGTTGCCCCCAAACCCCTTCACTAGCAGCACGTACTGAAGGGTTGGGTCCAGTAGTATCGCCCCACAAGTGGGCACCAGTAGCTTATACTCCTTCCACTGGGCGATAATGGTGTCGATGTTAGGCAAGTGTGGTGTGAGGAACGGTATGTGAGTGAACATAATTTGACAAAAGCGGGTGAAGTTTGGTCGGGGGAGTAGGGGGTGCGGGGTTTTGCCGCATATGAGGTCCAAGTAGTGCCAGTGAGCCAACTCGAGCTGGAAACACACCCTGATCAAGTCATCCCTGTCCCCCTTTGGGATGTTTATTATGAAACGTGTGGACAAGTCGTCCAGTATTTGCGTGGGTATTGTGTGGCCAGTGGTCGGAGTGCCGGTGATTGGCCTCACGTACACACCATTGCCGCCGATACCACCGCCGGTGCTGTTGTTCTTGTGGTTAGACATGGAGTGCTGTGTTATCTCATTACCGCGGATGACAGTCACCGTATAGTTGATCACAAATGCACAGATGTTTTAGTGATACTTGCAGTCAATTATAAAACTAATTTAAATGAAAGTTTTTTGTGATTTAATTGATTTAATGTTTTGGTTGTTGTTGTGAAACACCACTCGTATTGACATCTAAATGGGTTTTGTGTTCATAATTAACGTAACGCTAAAAACTTGTAAAACTTGTGTTCTGTTGAACTTGATCAGATAACTTTACTATGATTTACTATTGTAAGAACGTGATTACCCTTTTACCACTCAACCCAGGTAAAATTAGTAGTAATTGTTGTATTACAATTAATTAATTAATTGTTTGTTTTAGTAAAAAGTTTTATTAGTTTACTTTTTACTATTATAGTTAGTGATACAGTTAATTATATTAAATTTATATACTGTATGTAAATTGATATATGAGTAATGTAGAGGCTGTCAAGTAGAAATTATTAAAAGTTTGTAAATATACCTTGCTTTTCCCATTTAATATAAAAGTATTTATGAATCATAACTTGTGATAACATGTGAATAAATTGTGTAATAAAAAGTATTTATTACACAAACGTATGGCAACTCATAGATAAGGGTTGAATCGACGCCTAAATGATTAATTCAAACAAAACATAATTATTTGAAATTAATATCACTTTACTATTGAGTGGTATTGAGGTTCAGAGGGTTAGCTATGAACCAAGAAGGACCCCGATTACGGTTCAAACAAAACATCAATGAGTATATCAAAGATGTTGAGCTCAGCGACCAATTGGTTGCGTTATTACGGACACACCCTTCCAGTGATCAACTAGATGATATTCTTGTAAGTTATCTAGTTCAATTAATTTTAATGTTATTTATATTGCAAATAAGCATACTTTTATACCATTATTAATTACCAATCATATTGCCCCTAATAAGCAATAAATTAGCATGCATAAAATAATAAATCCAACCCTTTACTACCCCTCCATTTGCCTACCGTTCCCAACCCCTAATCCAATCCATACTTTAGTCACTAGTCTAGAATTTGTATGAATTTAGGCCATAATTACTAAACAAATAATTTCTTTTAAAAAACTACAGAAACAGAAGGAACTGGAGGTTAAGAAACGGCAGATATTCTTGCAGTTCACTCACGAGCGCTACGACTGTGACCTTCTGGCAGATATGCTGCAGAAGTCGGGTCAGGACAGGGCGGCCGACAAACTGCGCCAATACAACAAGTCTGAGGAGCCCTGGAGTTACACCAATGATATCAAGTTAGATGTGGTGAACGCCAAAACCCTACGTTCCGGTCACTCCACGTACTTCCGTATGGACTCCAAACCGAGGGGAAGGGCTGTCATATTCTGTACGATACCGGAGCTCCGGAACGAGACTCTCCGGTGGCAGTCATTACTCGAACAGATCTACTTTCGGGTGGAAATACACCAGGGGCTGACATGTGATGGCATTAACACCGTATTGAACGCTGTGGTCGATGACCGCAACGAAGGAGATTCACTGATAGTGATGTTCTTAGGCCACGGACACGATGAGAAGGTGCAGGGGTCTGGTGAGGCACCGGGCGATGAGATGTCCATCAAGACTATTGTCGACAAGTTTTCTGAGGATAAGTGTCCCTCACTTCGCAATAAACCCAAGATTTTTCTGTTTAATTGCTGTCGAAATAGTGAGTAGTTTTTGGGTACTATTTATGAGATCATATTTGGGATCAGTTTATATAGTTTTATACACATATGATTTTAATATGGTATAACAAGGTGATTTAATTTTTAATTTATTATAATAATATAGAGTGGCCCCAACGCGAAGTGCCGGCTAAATACCTGGCTAATAGCAAGCTATTGGTGGTTAATTTGGAGTCCATTGACACCTCCTGGGTCAATGTGAATAAACGCACCTATGTCATATACGCCTGTGCCGAGGGTGCTTTATTTATATTTTATTTGCATATTTAAAATTAGTTATTTAATTAACATAATCAAATGGATCTAGGTGTGGAAAGTTGGTACGATGAAACAGGGCTAACTATATTTGGACAGGCATTCAGTCACACATTAGCGCAATATGCCTGGTATAAGCACCTGACCGAGCTCATTATGATGGTTAGTCTATTCGTATGCACAAGCAATGTAAATGAAATATTAATTATGAGTTTACAACCTGACCTAGACACATTCCCGATTGGAAAGTGAGTTCATAGGCTCGAAGTATGAGTTGCGACCGGAGATTAAGATGAATTCCGTGGACAGACAGCTGTACCTCAATCCAGGCCTACCGTGAAGTTAATGAGTGTTTGATTGAAATGAGACAATCATTTGTCAAATTATGTTGACTGCCATATATATTGCCATTTATTTAATTAATATTCCAAATAAACATTTGGTTTCAATTCTAACGTTGTACTTGGTTAATTAAGAAAATTAAATAAATATACAGTAATTATATTTAATATAGTTAAAAAAACATAGTGTACACTCTGTTTAATATGGTAATCAAATAATGTAAGTTTTGTTATAATACCGGTAATTGTTTTTCACAATCGCCTCAATAGCCGGTGTTATCATTAATTTGTTGCAAATAATAATTACTTGTATTTCACTTACTCTCACCAATTATTAACCTAATAATTGGAAATTATTTTCATAGCTTTATTTAAGACTGAAAGTTAAATGGGACAGGTATGCGATAATAAATATTAAAATAACTGCGTAAATTTAAAATATTGTCTGGGAAATTAACAAAATTAGCATGTATGTACAAGCAAAATTATTTGTCAAGAACACGCCTTTCCAGACCTACCAGTAGACGTTGTGGTGAGTTAATGAAAATAGTGGGCAGTAGTCGTAGGGGACGGTCGGTGTGGACAGTCGTCACAAACTTATACCTCATTATGAGATGAATGAGTGTAGTCTTGAGATCCAGTAACACGAATCGCATAGCAATGCACTGACGGTCACCTAAACTGAACGGGAAGTATGTGTTGGGCACCAGTTTATCCCGATTGTGAGGCATAAACCTGAAGGGATCGAAAACATTGGAGTTCCTATAGTACTGTTCGTAGTGGTGTATCGCATATCTGTGCTTTCAAAATAAAAGCCAGATTATATATAGGCTATGAATTGGAAGATTTTTTATTGCTTGCGAGTCAAGTATATATTAAATACATATATACTTTTAAGCTTGACTCGCAAGCAATGAAAAATCTTCCAATTCATAGCCTATATATAATCTGGCTTTTATTTTGAAAGCACAGATATATTGGGATATCAACCGTATCGCCCTTACGAATGGTGATACCGGTGTCGCCTAACTTATAGTCGGTTACAGCCATACGTCTCATACGTATGGAAATGGTGTGCAGGCGTTGAGACTCATTGATGACGGCCTCGAGGAAAGGCATCTGTGATATGGTCTCGAAGTCTATTTCCTTATCTCCAGTGCCGACACAGCCCTTCACTTCTTCGTATAGTCTTTGTTGATGGTTGGGATGTAGGGCTAACTCGTAGGCCAGGAATGCCAGGGCTGTTGACACCACTTTGCACCCACTGTTCAGAAATATCCAACTGTTGGCCAACGCCTCGTCTTCAGACATATAACTGTCCCCTCTTTTGATGCCTTTCTTAACACCATTTGAGCCTAAAGTTTGAAATAATGTATTAATTGTATAATACATTTAGACTGTTATTATAATATAACAAAAATTATATAGTTTTCATCATTTGTTCAAAATTACTGTATTGGCATTTATATGATAGTCAACATTACCCGGACTCATCAGCTTTTTATTATTATTGTCCGCATTTATGGCTAAGTCTATGAAATCGTTGTAATTATTACTCGTATTTCGTTTTCTCTCAGCAATTATATGACGGGTCATCGAAATGATGTATTCAATGGCAGAGTCCAGCACCGGGTGTTTGATGCAGAGGACCCTGAGCATATGAATGAACTCAACGCATACAGAAACATTGCATCATCATTGGCTTATAATAAAAAGTACTGAAAAACGGTTTCACATAAAGAGTGTAAAAATAATGATAAAAACAGTTTGCATACAACTGAACTGTAACAACATTGTGTTTTTATTACAGTATTTATGTATTATTTCTAAGCATTGATCCCCTTTATTATAAGCCAATGATGATGCAATGTTTCTGTATGCGTTGAGTTCATTCATATATTCAGGTAACATTATGTACAGCAATAGACGCAGTCGACTCGGGGTCAACACGTGGTTGACGTTCACCACAAACTGATTAGCACTCGTATCGGCCCATGGATTCAGTTTAAAGCTATACAAA